TCATTTTCTCCATGAAGCTAAGTAGCCTCCCTCGTGGGCAGTCCTGGCTCCTCCTGGGACTTCTAACCCTAAAGGCAGAAACGTGTTTCTTCTAGAGCCCCTCTTTGAGTTGTCTTTCCACTCGTGTTTTCTTTTTCTCTCTTCCATCACTTTTTCAAGTGGTTTCTCTTATGAAATATCTTCTAGTGAATCCTTGGGTAGGAGCCGTGTCTTCCTGGCTGGACTCTGCCTGAGACACGTAAGGTTAAGGGTACTTATTATTTTGTTTGTATTTCGTAATAAATAATATCCTGGCAATTTGTTCATTTCTCTTCATCTCCATGGGAATGATCCTAGTCCAAGTCACAGCTCTGTCTTGCTCGATTATGACAATCGCATCCAAATAGTTGGATAGCCCTTTGTGCACCTTTCCAATCTTGTCTTCTTATAGCAGCCAGAAGCAGCTGTACCAGTTCAGACAGATATGGATGCAGTTAGCAGAAACTTCTAAGAGACTGATCAGGTGTGAACATGTATTAGATGATAGTATGCTCAGACTCCAGAGCTGCTGGATTCAGTAGCAGTAACGTCATCGGAGCCCCACGTTCATTCTCTCTCTGCCATCCTGTTTGTCCTCCTGCTGATTTCCTTCAAAATGGCTGCCTGTGGGAAATAGGACAGCATTCTTGTTCACTCATAATGAGAGAAGATAAAAATAGAAACAGGGATGGAGAGAAGAGAGATTATTCACATTCCGTGCTGTTTTTCTGGCATGGAATGTGAATAACTTTTTTCACCCTGATGGGCCAACTCAGGCCATAGCTGGCTCCTCTGACCTCTCAAATCAATCATAGTTTTCAGGGTGGGCATGGTGGATCATGCCTGTACTCCCAACACTTTAGGAGGCCCAGGTTGGAGAATTACTTGGGTGCAGAAGTTCCAGGCAAGTCTGGGCAATATAGCAAGACCTTGTCTCCACAAAAAACAATTTTAAAAAAATTAGCGGAGTGTGGTGGCTCAGGCCTGTAGGCCCAGCTACCCAGGAGGCTTAAATGGGAGGGTCACTTGAGCCCAGGAGTTTGAGATTAGCCTGAGCAACATAGAAGACCCCATCTCCACACACACACACACACACACACACACACACACACACTCTCTCTCTCTCTCTCTCTCTCTCTCTCTCTCTCTCTGTTTTCAGTAGAATAGCTTAGATTTATCATAATATCTCTGTGGTGTGTGGAAAGGGGTGGATACCCAAACTCGGGCACACTACTACTGGGAATGAGGAAAGTGAAATGGGTGATGGTCAGTTACCTTTCTAATAATTAAAATCCGATCATATTGTTCTGGTGCTTCACAATCTCCAATTGCTCTTAGCATTGTACCGGGAAGTCTGCAGGGCAAACGTATCCCCACCCCACTCATCTCTACGTCTAATCTCCTCCACCCACTCATCTCTACGTCTAATCTCCTTCACCCCACTCATCTCTATGTCTAATCTCCTCCACTCCACTCATTTCTACATCTACTCTCCACCCCACTCATCTCTATGTCTAATCTCCTCCACCCCACTCATCTCTACGTCTAATCTCCTCTACCCCACTCATCTCTACGTCTAATCTCCTCCACCCCACTCATCTACGTCTAATCTCCTGTCCTTTTCTGTTTAAATCTCCCCTCAATGGATCCAGTTACAATGACTGAAAAACTGCCATGAAGTCTCTGACTTTGTGCACCTGGGCTGCTCGTCCTCACACCTGGCCACACCCTGCATGTGGCTACAGCCTCCTGCTTCTGTGGATTCCAGAACACACTTCACTTCCTGAAAGCCTTTCTTGACCACCAACCTGACACAGCTCTGCTTGGCTTTCAGCCCCAGCCATTCTCTCCATGCCCATGTGTGTTGCTTCCTTTTCATAACAGGACATGCGCTTCATAACTGTGAATTTGTTTGTGTGTTTGTCTGCCTAGTGTCAGCCTTTCCAACTAGACCGGGGGGCATGATAAACTTTTTCTGTAAAAGATCAGGTAGCATTTTAGACTTTGTTGGCCATACAGTCTCTGTTTTGAGATCACTCCAGGTGCTCTGTTTGTGTGTATGTGTGTGTGTGAGAGGGAGAGAGAGAGAGACAGAGCCCGAGACAGTGTGTGTGTGCAAATGTGTGTGAACATGTTAGTGCATTTGTGTGTATGCATATGAATGTGTGAGCATATGTGCACATGCGTGTGACAGATTGAGAGTATGCGTGAGCATGTGTGAGATGTATAAGTGCATGCATGTGTGAGTGTGTGTATATGCATGTGTGTGAGTGCATACATATGTGAGTGTGTTTGAGAGTATGTGTGTACCATATACACCATGGAATACTATGCAGCCATAAAAAGGGATGTGTTCACGTCCTTTGCAGGGACGTGGATGAAACTAAAAACCATCACTCTCAGCAAACTGACACAAGAACAGAAAACCAAACACTGCATGTTCTCATTCATAAGTGGGTGTTGAACAATAAGAACATATGGACACAGGGAGGGGAACATCACACACTGGGGCCTGGGGGATGGGGGGCTAGGGGAGGGATAGCAGGGGGTGGGGGGATTGGGGAGGGATAGCATTAGGAGAAATATCTAATGTAGATGACAGGGCAATGTATGTAGCAAACCACCACCATGGCACGTGTATACCTATATAACAAACCTGCATGATCTGCACATGTACCCCGGAACTTAAAGCATAATAAATAATTTTTTTAAAAGAGGGTATGTGTGCACGTGGATGTGATTGTGTGAAATAGTGTGTGTGTGAGAGTATGTGCTTGTGTGAGTGGGTGACAGCACGTGTAAGTGTATGTGTGTGGGTATGTGTATACAGGCATGTGATTGTGAGTGTGTGTATATGTGAGCATGTGATAGTATATGTCAGTGCATGCATGTGAGAATGTGTGCATGTGTGAGTGTGTGCACATGCCTGTGTGAGCATGTGTGAGTGCATGTGTATGTGCGTGCATGTTGTGTGTGTTTTAGAGCATGTGTTAGACTGCATGTGTGGGAGGGAGCACATGTCAGCTTATGCATATGAGGAGGAAATGCCTCCTGAAGTCATATCTTAGTACTTAGGGGGACCCTGTCCTGAGAACCTCAAGAATTCTCTGGACTTGGTTTAGCCCAGGATTTGTAGTTTTATTTTTGCTAGTGCCTGTCAGGAGAAAATCTTGTCATTAGAACATAATAGATGAAATTAATTTTTCCAGCTCTGATGGAAGTCTTCCCTGCCCTTGCCACTCCAGTTTGTTCTGTACAGTGACCAAGATTATCCTTCCAAAATGTGAAGTTGTGTCCACCCCTCCCTCCATCAGCTCCTCTCCATGTTCCTCTCAGGGACGTGTTTATGTCACAGGCATTACTGAGAGCCTGCTTTGCTTGGGGAATCGTGCTGGGTGCTGGAGTGACAGATGTAAGCATGATGCCACGGTTTCTGATTGCCACGTTTCGGTTCCTTTATGCGTGCCACTAAGGCCACGTTTCAATCCAGACTCGGTCTCATTTTTGGGCACCTGCTAGACTGTAGTCACTCCGTTTCCTGAAACATCCCCATTGTCACTCCTCTGTCTCCCACTTCTGTACCATCTTTTCCACAGTCTATTAGAATGCTTGATTCTCTCTCTGGCTGTCATAAAACTTAGCAAATGACTTGTATAGAGATAATCACGTTTTGCTATAATAAATTGCTTTTTAAATGGATGTGACTCGCTACATTATGCATAATCTGAGGGCAGAGATGGATCCTCTCTATGACTGTATTTCCACAGGACTGAGCAGGGGACCCGGCGTAACTCAGTAAAATTTGGAGGAATTGCTGGATTGACTTAGTTACAGAACAGAAATAGCAGATACCTACCTCTTCTGACTACATCACAGGGCAACTAGAGGCACAGATAATATAGATGTGAAAGCTTTTAGAAAATACTATGCCACATAAATACAGGGTGGCACCGTGCTTGATTATATGTACACATTACAAGTTTGTTCTGATTATCATTCCATCGTTGATTTTACAATCACCAAGAAGTTCCCACATTAGATGCTCATGCTGAGTAGCTGACGCTGATACACTTCGAGACTGAGTCACATGTGAACTTCAGGGATGGCAGTAGGTCAAACTGTCTTCAGTGGTTTCTGCTCCTACTCTTCCCAAGTTTTACTCCTCTTCTATTTTGACACCAGGCTCAAATGCATTTTTACAATTCCTCTTTTAATAGGGGCATATACTGACGTGCTGATATGTTCCTAACAGGTTCTTAAAATTTGAACTTTTATTTTACAAGATGAAAAGAGCAACAGTGAACCTAAAAAATAAATCCTAGTTTGATATTGTCCTGCAACTGTGTAAGCTATAACCCCTGGAAGAGCCTGGAGGCAGGCACCACTTTGTACTGTCTTTGTGACTTCTTGTGACTCTGTGATTATTTCAAAATAAAAAGTTAAATCACTCACAATGGTAGATCTGCATGTGTCCACCATACTTTTGTATCTGAAGGGCTTTTGATCTGTTTTCTGGTCCTCACCAAAGCAAATGCCTGAGGTCAGCAAGGAGGAAGAGGTGAAAGGAAGGCCATGGGATGGGCTGTCAGTGCTGGGCGGAGGAGGCTCCCTCCACTCACTTCAGCCTCTGCCTCATCTTATGCAATCATTGAGGACTGCCCTGTTCCATGCACACACCGCCTTTCACTTATTATTCATATTTTTACATCTTTATTTTAGTTTCTGCCTCCTCCTATAGAATGTTAATTTCTATCATGGCAAGAATTTTTTTTATATCATTGTATCCTCATTGCCTACAGCAGAGTTGGGCACAGAGAATGCATGCAATGCGTGTTTGTTGGATGAATGAATCCTTGTAGAAAATGCAAGCTTGAAAACAAGCCTACTGCTTCCCCGAGAGAAGTAACTCAAATCTGCCCATCCTCATAAGAGAGCAAACCTGTCTTTTAAGCTAAGACCTTTTTCCTGTGTTCATACTCTAGAAAAAGAAGACACGACTGATAACATCTGAGAGGAAGGAAACTACATTGTGCTGAGCCTCTGCATGTCAGCTTATAAAAAGTAATTTTTTAAAATAGGCCAGCCTTTTGAACAGTTTCCAGACATGGATTATCCTACTTTCCTTCTGGCTCTTCTTCATGTCTACAGAGGTAAAGATCATCTTTGTATCTTCATTTGAAGTTTTTGTTCCTGTTTTTGTTTGTATGGTGTGGCATATTCAGAATATACGATGCTCTTTAATTGGCGAGGGTAATTTCTCACTTGTTGAGAAAAACTAAAAGTTACATTTTCCAGTTGTCAGCAGGACACATTTTTAGATGAAAGCAGAAACTGAGCCTTTACTGTGATCTTAATGTTCTATTTTGCTGGGTCTTCAAAAGCTTAAGATATTGATTTGGTGTTTCCATCATTAAGGCTAACAGAATTAACGTGATGTTGTCTATTTCAGCTCTATGTGAAAAGGTGCTTTGGCATACATCAGTTCCCTTTGCTGAGAATATGTCCCTAGAGTGTGTGTATCCATCAATGGGCGTCTTAGCACAGGTGGAGTGGTTCAAGATGGGGACCAAGAAGGATTCCATAGCCATTTACAGCCCTACTTATGGTGTGGTCATAAGGAAGCTCTATGCGGAGAAGGTTTACTTTTTGAATTCAACGATGGCTTCCAACAACTTGACTCTTTTCTTTCGGAATGCCTCCAAAGATGATGTTGGCTACTATTCCTGCTCTCTTTATGCTTACCCAGAGGGGTCATGGCAGAAGGTGATACAGGTGGTTCCTTCAGGTAAGGGCAACTTTTTAATTTATTTCTATCCCTTTTTATCCACCTACAACATTTGCTAATATAAAGCCAAAGTAGAAGCTACAGAATGCGTTCTCATCTTTCTGTGGCATTCTCCAATGCCATCTGTAGATGCTTTGATGTTACTGTTTCGAAGGAGCAATCCTGGGAGCCTGTTTCATTTTTCTGAATGTGCTGTCGTGTCTGAGTAGAAGTGTCTTTCAAATCTAATGTAGTAGGAGGAAGCGCATGTTGTCTTAATGATAACCTGGGACTTGATTGAACCAATGTTGGCAATGCATTGGTCCAGGATCCTGATGCCTTCCCATCAGGGCTTTATCCCAGTGACATGGTGCCATTCCCTTCTGCTGAATACTCGGCACTCACGGATGTTCAAGGTCCTTCCTACAGTACTGAAGCTAAGTTTACTAGTGAATTCTGGGTGAAAGTTCAAAACCTGGCCCCACTCCTCCCCTCCCCACCCCTCCCCTTCCTTCCCCTCCCTTCCCCTCCCTTCCCCTTCCCTTCCCTTTCCCTTCCCTGACATAGTCTCATTTTGTCACCCCAGCTGGAATGCAGTAGCATGATGTCAGCTCACTGCAACCTCCAGCACCCGGGCTCAAGGGAGTCTCCACCTCAGCCCTGTAAGTAGCTGGGACTACAGGTGTGCACAACCACATGATATAGTTTGGCTGTGTCCCTACCCAAATCTCATCTTAAACTCCCATGTGATGTGTGAGGGACCTGGTGGGAGGTAACTGAATCATGGAGGCAAGACTTTCTTCTGCTGTTCTCATGATAGTGAATACGTCTCATGAGATCTGATGGTTTAAAAAAGAGGAGTTCCCCTGCACAAGCTCTTTCTGTTTGCTTGCTGCCATCTGCATAAGATGTGACTGGCTCCTTCTTGCCTTACACCATGATTATGAGGCTTCCCCAGCCATGTGGAACTGTGAGTCCAGTTGAACTTCTTTCTTTTGTAAATTGCCCAGTCTTGGGAATGTCTTCATCAGCAGCATGAAAACAGACTAATACACCACACTAGGATAATTGTATTTTTTTTGTAGAGATGAGGTTTCATCATGTTGCCCAGGCTGGTCTTGGACTCCTGAGTTCAAGTGATCCAACTGCCTCGGCCTCCCAAAGCACCAGGATTACAGGCGTGAGCCACCATGCTTGGCCCTGGCTCCATCTTTCGCCTCATTCAAGTTTAGCTAGAGAGGACATTTTCTTCATAAATTGTGAGCTGTGGTGGCAGAAAGAACCTAGTGATCCCTTGGAGTGGTTTCTGCTTTATCTACCAGAGACTGTGGTTTTGTCCTTCTAGTGATGACCGCATGAACTGGTTGTAGTGGATTAGAAACACTTGACAGTCATCACTCTCCATGAACTTTGTGTTAGTTGCTCGATCCCTCTGAATCTCAGGTTCCTGAGCAGGAAATTGGGTTAGTAGTACCGTTCTACTCATTGAATGGCCTCAGAACAATATATTTAAGGAACTTGGCCCATGGTAGTTAGAGAATGATACATCGTATTATTATTTCCTATGCTTGTTATCCAAAAGGGCTAATAATGAAATTGTCAGATATTAATGACAGTCTAAAGAAGGGAATATTTTTGGAGCTGTGTGTTTCTTGTGTGGTGTCTCCATAGCTGTATAGAGAAGAACATTATGACACTGACATAATAGTGCTTTATTTTTAAGGGATCTATGCTCTAAAAGAACAATTACAGAATTATATGAGGAATATCAAATGGTCAAGAGGTAAGAAACCTCTTCATGTGTTTATTTTTCCCTTTCTCTTTAGATGTAGCTAAGCTGAAGACTAATTTTGTGTACATAGCTGAGGCTTATAGAGTGTCAATTTGCAGCGTTTCTTTAGTTAAATGTTTATTTATTAAAGACTCCATTTCACCATGCAAGGCCTCATTTGCTGTTGTATGCAGACACCTGGTAAATCCTGCATGGAGGTGTTTACTGTGTAGTTCGCTTTTAATCAGTTAGGCAAGAGAAGTAGAAGATTGGCAAAGCTTTTAAAATAGAGGGAGCCATTGGAAACAAGACCTGAACCACCAAGGCTGGAACAGGATGCACTCCCCACTGCTGCCGTGTAGCGCGCCTTTAAAGTCAGGGTTCCAAATTAGCTGTACTGGTTTCTGTCATGGGACAACCAATTGAAAACAAACAGCTCAACCTTTTCTGAAAGTTCAGGACAGAGGATGGAGCTAACCTGTAGAGAAGTAAATGATGGTTGTAAGGCAGAGGTAGGATTTTTAGCATCGCATATGAGTGGTTTCATGAATATTTCCTATTTTTTTCACCCAGATTCGTTGTTCCTGCTATTTTTTGAGATTAGGAAAAGAGAGCTTTCCCCTTTTTGGGACTTAAAAAAAATACAATGTGGAGATTTTCAGTGATTTATCAGTCAGAGGAAGAGGTACCAGCTGCCCATCTAGTTTGAATCCTTCATGATGGTGTCCTTAGCCATGTGTCATTGCTGTTGTTTTGATCATTTATATTTCAAAGAGAAGTTCAATGCAATGGGCCAGTGAGGATGTTCTACCCTATTTTGAGAGTTGGAGGGTACACTTTTTTAAGGAAAGATAGTGAGTTAGAAAAAAATTAGTTGTATTTCAAAATTAACTTAAATGTGCTTAAAATCTTCTTCTGTGCTTTGTTAACAACATACTAGGATTGCAAATATTGTACTTTTGTATACTATAAAGTGGGAATTGAAAATATATTAGATAGTAAAAAAAACTCAGACTTGGAATCTAGAAATCCTAGTTTGTTTGTATAATAGGTTGTAAGACCTTCAGAAGGATGACGGAATTGGGCCCCTTGCTCTGTAAATATACTGATTTTTGCCATTTACTGATGGCTTCTTATGTGAGGAATTTTCCGTAGTTTGGATCTTCCTACACTTCCTCCTTGAATCTATTGTGTGTGTTTCTCATGTGAGGAATTTTCCATAGTTCGGATCTTCCTACACTTCCTCCTTGAATCCCGTGTGCACCTGAACATTTGTGTTGCCTGATTTTACAGGTGATGACACTGAAGTGCAGTGAGGTCTAGTGGCCTTTCCAAGGCGCCAAGGTTCACATGTATCCCGGCAGATAAAGTTGCAAATTGATCTGTCAGCCTGGGGGATATGGGAACCCACCAGGGCCCTCAAGGAGACCTTGGCCATTGCACCTCCTGTCCGTGCTACCCCCTGCCCCCAGCTTTCAACCTAGAGTTGAAGAGCAAACAGGACATCTTATTCTGAATAAATGGTACTACTAATACAAAGTTATTTAAAATGTATGTTCCTCCCAGAATAGGCATTCCTTCATTAGCAATTGATTTAGAGAATCTAATGGTAAGAATAAGTGCATTTATTTTTACCTAGTTTGTGAGAAAATATGCAGAGATGACTTGGGAGGCAACATTTTCAAGGTAGCCCTTTCTGGCAGAGTTCGTGAGGTCGTGGAGAAAACTACTGTCACCTATGTGTCCCTGGATATATTAGTCAGTTGAAACAAATATAGTTGCATTTACAGAAATACCCCCCAAATGAGCGACCCACTCAGGATGCTCTGCCACCTGGTGGTTATTGGGTGCCTGCTCTGTAGGAAGCAACTGAGTGTTATTTCATTTAGTTCTTATGAAGCACCATGGGAAGGTAATGTGTTCCTGTGATATGACAGAAGATGCTGAGGTGGTAAACTCACTTGTCCAAAGTTCTTAAGCTGCCAAGTCACAGCATCAAGGTGACCCCAGTTGATTTTTCTGAAGAGCCAGAGAGCTTGACTCCAGCAGAATAAACCAGGAAGGGTCAAGGTAGAGAAAAGTCATGCTGGACTTTGAATAATTAGAAGGAATATTTTAATTAGAGAGGCTGGGGAGAGGGGAAGAGAGAAGACCCCGAGAGAAGGGTGACCTGGGGGTCCTGATGGCTTACAGAAGCACCCAGTGGAGATGAAAAGTGCATGCAGGAGGCAGAGCTTGACCCTCTCTGACTAGGGTACTGGGTTTGGATAGGATGTGGTTTTTGGGTTCTGAGGCTCTTTGCACCCACAGAGGTGGCCTGAGGGGCAGCCTTCCAGGAAAGGAAGACACTGTGAGGATGGGATTCTCTCCCTGCCCGTGCTAGCAAAGGGGCTCACTTATGATACTTTAGAGTCTCAGGAAAAGATTTAGCACTGTAGATTCTATGCTTAAAAAAGAAGTTGCAGCTCACTAGGCAGCAGAATGTCAGAAACAAACCTTCCATTGATGTGCCTAATGGAAGTTCGATACCATCTGTAATGCAGACCAGGGGGCATCTCTGAATAGTTTTTAGAGAGAAACACAAAATAAAACCAGATATTTCTTTCACCACCTGGAAGATTACACTGGCTGTAGCCTTGTAGCAGGGTAAGAGTGTGCAGGCAGGGTAAGCAAATAGGCGTCTGTAGATTAGAACCCTTACACACTCCTAGCAGTAGGGTAAATTGATATATTATTTTAGTTAGGCTTCTCCAGAGAAACAGAACCAATGTGTATGTACCTGGAGATTTCTTATAAAGAATTGGATCACGTGATGTATTAACCTGTTCTCACACTGTTATGAAGAAATACCGAAGCCTGGGTAATTTATAAGGGAAAGATGTTTAACTGGCTCACAGTTCACTATGGCTGGGGAAGCCTCAGGAAACTTATAATGATGGCGAAAGGAGAAGCGAACATGTCTTTCTTCACATGGCAGCAGGAAGGAGAAGTGCAGAGTGAGGTCGGTGGAAAGCCCCTTATAAAACTATCAGATCTTGTGAGAACTCATTATCGTAAGAACAGCATGAGGGTAACTGGCCCCATGATTATTCAGCTACCTCCCATTGGATCCCTCCCACAATACATGGGGATTATGTGAACTGCAATTCAAGATGAGATTTGGGTGGGGACACAGCCAAACCATATCATTTTGCCCTGGCCCCTCTCAAATCTCATGTCCTCACATTTCAAATACATATTTTAAAATACA